GATCTCTCACAGGATTTAGCACTTTCAGAATGTTCAATAAGTTATTATTGACTGGTTTGATAATAGCTCTATTCCTGCCTTTCTCTCAGGTCCTTCAACAGATGTTTCTTCTAGCATTTTGCAAGTCATTTGGGTGGAATGCTTGGATCCCACAGTAATTAGCTTGTGTGTTTTTATCATTCTGCTTTTTAAAAAACAATACAGGCATTCAAGAACCAGAAAGATCCCTGGAACAAGATTTTTATTTTATCTTTTATGAATGTAGGTAAGGTGGGAGTATATAGGAGTTGGTTGGTAGCATGAGGTTGTTTTAAGGTGTTGCCAAGGGTCCGCAGGGTGACCATGACCATTGATGGTATGTTCTTATAGTGGTGATGGGTAGGAGAAGATGAATGAAAACAGAAGCATTTTGTTTAAAACAAATTCTTAGGTATTAGTTTCTTAATTTGGCACAGATATATGACAGACTATCATTTGAATTCTATAGATTAACAAAGTTCCTTTCATTAAATATTCCTCACAGTTTTTTGTTTGCTTTTCTTTTTAGTTGCAAGAGTGGTAATTTCTAACTTTCATTCTTATAAGTCTTTTAGAAATATATAATTGGAATATGTTGCCTGTTCTAGGTTCTCTGCTAGGCAAAGGAAAAGGCAGGGGATTAATGTTTTCTGATTGATACGGTTTCTGGATGTACTTATGGCAGCTTTTCTCCAAATGTGAGATCCTAGACCCTAGAGGATTTGTGAGGTCAAAACTGTTTTCATAATTATACTAAGATGTTATTTGCCTTTTTTTAAAAAAACTGTTTGCATTTGTACCCATGGTGCACAAACAATGATGGGTAAAGACTGTTGGCACCTTAGTACTTGTGATAAAAAAGGCCACATTTGTTTGAGAATGTTCGTGATGAAGTAGTAAAAATGATTTTTATTAAATCTTGATCCTTGAATGCATGCATTTTTAACATTTTGTCTAACAAGATAGGAATGTGCATAAAGTGCTTATGTTGCATATTGAAGTAAGTTGGATTTCAAGAAAAAGCACTTATGTGATTAAGTTGCAAGCTACACTAGCTACTATTTTAGTAGAAAACTCTACTATTACTTAAAAGAGGGGCTGACAAACCATGGTTATTCAGTCTTGGGTTTGGTAGACATTTTCTAAGATCAATGAAGTGAACCTGTCACTCCAAGGAAAACAACTGACCATATTTGTTGGCAATGAGAACATTTGAGCTTGCAAGTAAAAGTTAGAATTTTTGGAGAACTTGTATGTGTTACTGTGAGCTTGACAGCTTCCCAGTACTTAAAGATTTTCTGATGAGATTAGTGAGTTTAACAAATATGATTTTTTGAAATATGTCAATTTCCGGAAAATCTGTATAACCCAGTGGACCAGTATTTTTCAAATGAGGAAGGATGATGTTATAACATTATGCATGGATTAAAGATTCATTAAGTGAATAGACCAGTGAATGCTAATGTAGCAAAATAGGAAAAGTTGATTGATACAATTTCAGATTCCATGTCGCATCTAAACTACCACTGCTTAATAATGAAGTATGGTGGTTGTCTTGAAGAAAAGCACCTATGAGGTTCAATTGTAAGCAGAACTAGCCACTTTTTTCATAGAACAGTTTTGGTATAATTCCAAAGCATGAGATCTACAACTACCTCAAACGGCTATTCAAACATTCTTCCCTTTTCTGATAAATATCTGTTTGAGACCAAGTTTTCTTCATACCAAAACAACATATTGGCATAAATAGGATGTAGAAGCAGATATGAGAATCCAGCTGTCTTCTGTTAGATATTAAAGAAATTGGCAAAAATGCAAAACAATGCCACTCACCGCTTTTTAAAAGGAAAAATTTTTTTAAAAAAATAAAATGTGGGCTGGGCAAGGTGGCTCATACCTATAGTCCTAGCACTCTGGGAGGCCGAGGCGGGTGGATTGCTGGAGGTCAGGAGTTCGAAACCAGCCTGAGCAAGAGCCAGACCTCGTCTCTACTATAAATAGAAACAAATTAATTGGCCAACTAAAAATATATAGAAAAAATTAGCCGGGCATGGTGGCACATGCCTGTAGTCCCAGCTACTTGGGAGGCTGAGGCAGGAGGATTGCTTCAGCCCAGGAGTTTGAGGTTGCTGTGAGCTAGGCTGACGCCACGGCACTCTAGCCTGGGCAACAAAGTGAGACTCTGCCTCAAGAAAAATAAAATAAAATAAAATGTATTATTTATATTAACATGACAATTGGCCCTTCATATCTGCAGGTTCCACATCTGCAGATTCAACAACCTCAGATCAAAAATATTCGGGGGAAAAAAACGAATAAAATAACAATACAACAATAAAAATACAAATAATATAGTCTAACAGCTACTTACGTAGCATTTATGTTGCATGAGGTGTTACAAGTGATATAGAGATGATTTACAGCATACAGGAGATTGTGCTTAGTAGGTTCTATGCAAATATACCATTTTATATAAGGGACTTGAATATCCATGGACTTTGGTATTCATGGAATTCCTGGAAGCAATCCCGTGTCAATAACCTAGAGATGACTGTAATAGGCATGCTATTACTATTTTTAATACAATAAAAAAGTAAATTGTAAACATTTCTTTTTCATTTCTAGCATGTTAAGTATTGATAGCTATAACACATAAAAACTAAACAAGTCATGAGACCAAAACACTCAAGAATGGTGTTATGGTATTCTTCCTTTGAATTTTCTATACTGTTTTTCTATGCTAACTGCTACACAAACAATGAATGTCTTAGTCTGTATTATAATTTCCAAATTATTTGTCATAGTAGCGACTCTTGCTCAGGTCAGGCTTGTTTCGAATCCTGACCCTGAGTGATCCTCCTGCCTGGGCCTCCCAGAGTGCTAGGATTACAGGTGTGAGCCACCGTGCCCGGCCTAGGACTACATTATCTTTTGATCTGATTTTCTTTCTCCTCATATGACTATCCAGATTTTTAACTTTAGAATGTCTCTTGCCATCATTTGTCTCTATTCCCACTGCTGTCCACCCAGGTCCCTTAATTCTTGAATTACTTAAGTATTCCAGTTTTTTCCTCATATGGTGTGTTTTTTTGGTTTTTTTTGAGACAGTCTCGCTTTGTTGCCCAGGGTAGAGTGAGTGCTGTGGCATCAGCCTAGTGCTCACAGCAACCTCAAACTCCTGGGCTCAAGCAATCCTCCTGCCTCAGTCTCCCGAGTGGCTAGGACTACAGGCATTCACCACCATGCCTGGCTATTTTTTCTATATATATTTTTAGTTGGCCAATTAATTTCTTTCTATTTATAGTAGAGACGGGGTCTCGCTCTTGCTCAGACTGGTTTCGAACTCCTGACCTCCTCGAGCAATCTGCCTGCCTTGGCCTCCCAGAGTGCTAGGATTACAGGCGTCGGCCACGGCGCCCTGCCTTGAATGCCAATTTTAATGCCTGTTGAAAATTTTGTAAAGTTGTGAACACTGAGGCATTGTGGAGTTATTGAAATCTGCCCTCAATGGATATTTAATGTAATTATTCTTGAAATCTTTATCAGAAAAAAAATGTATTGCCTGTTTTACTACTGGGTTTGTTGTTAGTGAATTGTTGGTTGGTGGGATCTCCACATCACCTTGGCTTTGCCACGCAGCTAGGTCTCCAGCACAGCTTTCTTTGTTTGCCAGCCTTGCCTTACCTCACTTACCTGTTTTGTTTCCTATAGTACTCAACACCATCTCATTTGCTAAACATTTTGCTTTGTTTTTGATTGTGTCCTTCCAACTAGATTTTAAGTTCTCTGAGGTCACAGATTTTTGTCTGTTTTGTTAATTGGTAAATCTTCAGTTTCTATTGTAGGGCCTGGCATGTATTAATTAGATGCTCAGAAAATATTTGTTGAATGACTGTATATTCCCATTTCTCTTTATTCACCTGCAAACTCAAATGTTCTTTTCTGTGTTATGTGCTTCCAGCTGGGGACACGTTTGTCTATCTTTAAATATAACTAAACTGGCCCTGAATAGAATCTTTTTGATTGATTGATCAGTACATGTTTAATCAGTGGAACAATCACCCCTCCCCCTTGATTCAGAGTCTGTATTTCTATTAATGTAGCCTAAAAGTGCAGTGTCTCTTTAAATAGATGTATCATCATATAGGCCCCTATGGAGATCTTTTTTTTTCTTTTAAATTACATCAGTTTTAAAATAGTTAAATGATATGTGGGAATTTTTTCCTCAAATTCCTTTGAAGTTAAGATTTACAAAAATGGCAGCTATCTTAATTACTACCTGTTTTCTTCAACCTCATACTTTTTAAAATAATTCTAATCATCTGTTTGAACTTTTTGGTTTTTTCGTATTTAACATTTTATATAGTATTTTTACATTTTTAATGTATTTCTGTTTGTCTATTTTAAAAGTGAATGCCATTTTTAAAAATGAATGTCTTTACATTGGGTTGTCATAGCCTAATTCTCTTTTTTAAAAATTATTTTGGAATAATTTTAGACTTACATAACATGGTACCTTTGTCAAAACTAAGAAACCAGTATTAGTATGTCATTATTAACTTAACCTGAGACTTTATTTGGATTTTACCAGTTTTTCAACTGATGCCTTTTTTTGTTTGTTTGCTTCAGAATCCAATCCAGGATCTCACATTGCACTTGGTTTTCATGTCTCCTTAGCCTCTTGATCTGTGATTGTTTCTCAGTCTTTTTCTTTTGTTTGTTTTTCATGACCTATTGAGAGTATTAAAGAGTATTGGTCAGGTATTTTATAGGAATGTACTTCAATTTTGGTTTACCAGATGTTTTCTTGTGATTAGACTGAGGTTATAGGTTATGAGATTTGGGGGAAGGAGACCACAGTCAAATGTGCTTCCCATTACATCATGCAAGGGGGTACATCATAGCAACATGACTTGTCACTGGTGATGTTAACTATGATTACTTGGTTATGGTAGTGTCTTCCAGGTTTCTCTGAAACATTACTATTTCCCTTTCTAGACTTTCTTCTTTGAAAGTGAGTCACTTAGACTGGCTCACACTCAAGGGGAAGGGAATTGAATTCTTCCTCTTACAGTGGGGAAGGATATACATGTATTAGTTGGAATTCCCTGTGAGGAAGATTTGTCCCTCTCACTTATTTGTGTATGTAAGTATGTAGTCACTTATTTATATCGTGGAATCATGGATATTTATTAATTCAGTTATAATACTGTCATGATTTATTTTGCTGCTTGAATTATTCCAGCTTTTGCCATTGGAAATTCCATCATTTTGGTTCCTGTCTTTGACATATCCCTAACCTTTCATCTTTTGAGCATTACCTTTCTGTTACAGGTTTGTCTTGTATTTTTCGTGTCTCAGCCCTAGAATTAACCATTTCTCCAGAGCCCTGCTTCCTTGTATTGGAGGATGGTATTTAGAAACAAAGGTTATGGGTGGTGGGTATGCTTATTACTCCTGAGGTGTTACTGCTTCTAGGCCCTCTGTTGGACAGAGCTTGGAAATACATGTATGTCGGCTAACCCACATGTGGGTACATATCTATGTTTCTCTATCATATATTTTAAAATAAATATTATGAGTTCATACTGGTATCTCTGACTCTAATTCAACCACTCTTTGCTTATTTGTAACTACTTTTTCTGATATTGAAGAACCTGGCTCACATTATATATGATTTATTTGCTTGTTCAACCCTAGTGTACACATAGAGTCCTTTCAGAATTACAAACTATGTTAGTTCATTGTGAGAAATTTACCAACTAGCACAGTGTTTACATACAGTTCTTTTATCGTTATCCTTCCTGTATCTAGTCAAAACAGATTGTCCCCTCAACTCTCTTCCCTTTTCATGAGGCTATCATAAGATTGTAATATAGTAAGACTCATTGTATAGTCCCCATTCCATCCTGAGATCCCCTGATAGCCTGTTTTGTTTTTATTTGTTTACAGTTTATCATTTAAAAAAATGATTGTCTTTACATCAAGTATTGTTGTCTAACTTTTTCATGAACGTTGTAATTCCTGATCTCACTTACTTGCAGTTTATGTAGTTGATAGCTAGTACTTATGTGGTACTTACTGTCTGCCGGGCACTGTCTATGCACCTTACACAAATTTACTTCTTGTAACAACTCTGAGGTAGAATCTCTTGAATTAACCTCTTTTTTGTGAGGAGAGTGAGGCACAGAGATGTTAATTGGCCATGTTCACACATAGCTGGTAAGTGGGAGAACTGGGATATGAACCCAAGTAGTCTGGCTTTGGAGTCCAAGCTCTTGTCTTTTGTTTAAGACTGTTTATAGGACTCAGACTAAATACTGCCTTATTAATTGAGCTTATTGTTTGAACTTAGTTTGGAATGGAGAGTGCTGCTGCTCCCTCTTTGCCTGGCATCCATAGCAGCCTTGTTAATAATCATGATAGCACTCTTTCCTGCTACGGTAGTACATGGTCTGGGCTGCGAATCCTTTAGACATAACCTTAATGTGGTTATATGAGATGAAATCTATTTATCATCTCTGATCTTGTCTTTCTGGAATCCTGATTCTAGTATCCAGTGCATAGCACTGTGCACCTCCTTCTGTTGGATTCCGCTCTCATGGTCTTTTTCATGGGGTGCATGTTTTCTATATTTCTCTTCAGCCATACGATCTGCTTTTCTCAGGTAATTTTTATCACTTACCAATAATTTAACATCCATATGTCTAAGTTCTCTTTATATTGTTTTCCTTGTCTTTACCTGCAAAATTTTATTTACCATTAATTTACTTTTCAGTGTATCAAAACAATGGACTTTAACTTAATTGAAATTGTTAAATGAGACTAACAGCTGCCTTCAAAGCATTTAAATGTAAAATAACTATTGAAACTGGAGATTTTTTTGTAATAGGCAATTTTATGGCAATCTTGCTGTGAAGGAAACATTATTAAGGGAAGGACATCAAGAATATTGTAATCATATTACTTACATTTTGTTGGGTTCGGGTTTTGATTTTATTTAGCCTGGTATTCAGTTAAGAGTCAGAGTTAATGCTATTAATTTAGTTAGGAAGGAGAAGTAGTACATGCTGTTTATTTTGTTTTCTTTAGACCAGTAGAAACAGAAACATCCATTTGGCCAGACCAGATAGATGGCTATTCCGTTGATGAAGCAGATCCTTTAGGAAGAAAGGCATCAAGAACACTGGTAGTGTCTGGGTTCCTTTTAATTTATTTATTTTTGGATTCTTCAGTCATTGAAAGCTGAGTAAGGAGGGGCAGGAATGTCTTTTGTAATGGCCTTTCACAGGTGGAGTAGGGTTGCACCTGAATGAATGCTGATTCCTTGGGCTTGTGTGGCCTGGTCACCTGAGAGGTAGAAAGGTGTGTGTGTCTTGGACATTCCCTGGGGGCCTCTGTCAACCTGAGAGGTTGGAGGAAGCCCTGCTCTTTCTGGTGATGCTTTTGATGATAATGAAATCATTTTCCATTAATTCAGACATTCTTGTGTAGTTGGTCTTCTGTATCTGTGGGATTCCACATTTGTGGGTTCAACCAACTGTGGATCAAAAGTATTTGGAAAAAAATCAAGAGTCTCTACTGGACATGTACATACTTTTTTTCCTTGTCATTATTCCCTAAACAATGTAGTATAACAACTATTTACATAGCATTTATGTTGTATTAGGTATTATTATAAGTGATCTAGAGATGATTTAAAGTATGAGAGGATATGTGTAGGTTATATGCAAATGCTATGCCATTTTATATCAGGGACTTGAGCATCCATGGATTTTGTGTCTGCAAAGGGGTCTTGGAACCTGTCCCCCATGGATACCAAGGGACGGCTGTATTTATGGTCTCAATGCTAAGTATGTATTTCAGATGCCTTCTGTATTTCATGTGGCAGAAAACCTAATCCAGACAAGTTTAAGAAGAAAAAGTTGGGGGGATTTCTTGGTTCTGTAACAGAAAAGTTCTGGAATTGGTTTGGCAAGGTATACCTGTTTTAGGGCTCAACTGATGTGACTAGGGTCTATTTTGACTTTGAGTTTTAGTTTTTTGTTGTTGCTGATTTTCTTCTTTGAGGGTTTTTTTTTTTTTTATCATTGTAAGATGGCTTCGAGCAAGTCCTTGGCAAAATTTTCTAGGTTTAAATGTAAGGGAAGGCCTGGCGTGATGGCTCATGCCTGTAATCCTAGCACTCTGGGAGGCCAGGATCGCTCAAGGTCAGGAGTTAGAAACCAGCCTGAGCAAGAGTGAGACCCCGTCTCTACTAAAAATAGAAAGAAATTAATTGGCCAACTAAAAATGCATAGAAAAAATTAGCCGGGCATGGTGGCGCATGCCTGTAGTCCCAGCTACTTGGGAGGCTGAGGCAGAAGGATCACTTGAACCCAGGAGCTTGAGGTTGCTGACACCACGGCACTCTAGCCGGGCTAACAGAGTGAGACTCTGCCTAAAAATAGAATAGAATAGAATAGAATGGAATGGAATGGAATGGAATGGAATGGAATGGAATGGAATGGAATGGAATGGAATGGAATGGAATGAATGTAAGGGAAGAAGAGTGAGCATTCTTGTCCTAGTATTGCAAGGAAACCTTCTGAGATTTTCACTGTGACTGAACTGATTCTGCTCATGTATCCAACCCTGTACCCCGGTCACTGTCTCCAGGGAGATGTGGTACTTTGGTCAGGCCAGGGTCACAAGCAGCTTGAGTCAGCTTCCTCTCATATAGTTGAGTTCTCAGAGAAGAGGTATGAAGTTCCCACAAAAGGGTGGTGAATTGATGCTGTGTAGCAAAAACAACATAGTGTCTACTATAATGGGACAAAGTAAGATTATAAGGGGGCCGAGCGCGGTGTCTCACGCCTGTAATCCTAGCTCTCTGGGAGGCCGAGGCCGCGGATCGCTTGAGGTCAGGAGTTGGAAACCAGCCTGAGCAAGAGCAAGACCCCGTCCGTCTCTACTATAAATAGAAAGAAATTAATTGGCCAACGAATACATAAGAAAAAATTAGCCAGGCATGGTGGCGCATGCCTGTAGTCCCAGCTACTCGGGAGGCTGAGGCAGGAGGATCGCTTGAGCCCAGGAGTTTGAGGTTGCTGTGAGCTAGGCTGACGCCACGGCACTCACTCTAGCCTGGGCGACAAAGCGAGACTCTGTCTAAAAAAAAAAAAAAAAAAAAAAAAATTATAAGGACATGGTGTTCATGGTATTTCTGAGTTTGGTTTTATTCATAAAATAGATTCTCTTGCACAATGTAATTTCCCTTTATTTTACTTAACCTATATAAATGTAATTTTATAAGGTGTTACTATATTCTGTTAAGACTTTGGTGGTTCCCTGCCATATTCCGCTTTGGCTTTTGCATTAAAGAACAGATGTTGTTTTGGTTTCACTGTAGATAGGTGGAATCTTCTTTTAAAGACTAGAGTTGTAATGTTTTTTTAATAAGAGAAACTATTTCCATGTCCTGGATAAAATTCATGTTAGTGCGATTTCTTTCACCTATAAAACTAAACATATGTTTTGAAAGAAAAATTTAAAAACTAGATGTATTCACGAGGTCCCATACATTTAGTATTAATAGCAAGTAATTTTAATAAAGGTTCCCTTCTAAAATAAAATATATTTAAATATATTAAATATGAATATTTGCAATTGTATTTTAATACTGTACTTGGCTCCGATGTTACGGAAATATCACTGACAAGAGAGTAAGAAGACCTGATTTGAGTCTGTCATTTGTTATGAGAAGGAGGCAAGGGGAGTTAACATCTGAAGGCTCACTGTATGCCAGGTATAGATAGAGCTGGGTGCATATTTGGTGGTGTAACCAAACTTTGATCTAGATGTATGGATACGGACTTTAAGTCAATAGCAGCTTCCTTAACATGAATCTTAGAAGCTCTGGGTTTTATGCTTAGGATCTCTGGTTGGTCTCTGAGATTCATCTCATCTTGGCGGTTTCTTGGTAAGAGCACACATTTCCTGATTTTTCTGGCTCAAGTGGGGATAGTCTACCCTTCCTTTTCTTACCTCTAAGTAAACTTTTCAAATGATGTGCTGATAAAAGTTATTTATTATCAGTGTAGGTTAATAGACCTGGGTTTTTGCTTTTGTTTGTTTTTAAGTCTATAGAGATCCCCTTTATTAGTAGTTTTGCTTGGAGTGGTTTTACTTACTTTTGGCCAACTATAGTCCAGAAATATTAGATATTTTGAGAGAGAGAGAGAATACAGTCACATAACTTTTATTATAATATATTGTTATAATTGTTCTATTTTATTAGTTATTACTGTTAATATCTTACTGTGCTTAATTTATAAATTAAACTTTATCATAGCTATGGACATGTAGGAAAAAGCACAGATTTTACAAATGAATAAAGATGGTCTTGCTATTGAAGCAATTACAGTGGGGGTAGAGGAGAGTGAAAAACATGAAAATGTTATTTTAATACGTTGTGAATGCTACAATAGTGAGTGGAGTTTGTTTAATGTAGAACATCCTTTTAATTGTTGCCTTAAACTTTATCTTTTTTTAAAAAATAGATCTGCCTATTTAGCCCCATACTTACAACAGAGAACAGTCTGAATACTCAGGTTTTTGTCATGATATACTTTATTAGAAATGTTGTTACTAATGGTAGAAACAGCATGGAAGATATTCTAGAATATTAGACAAGGAGGGTTCTAGTACTAAAACATAAAATGCTAACTAATGCAGTATCTCTTTACCAAGACATAAAATGTACATCCTAAAAAATGAATTGTAATAATGTCCACATTGCACATCCATGTAAACTAAACTCGTTACCATGGTAGGCTTTATTGCACAGGGTTGCTACCTCTAAGGACCAAGAATTTGTGGAGGCAGCAGGTGGACTGGTTGTGATTAGCCTATGAGCTAATGAGGCTACAGATAATCCATTTTTATCTGATTCCTTTTCTTTTCAGTTCCTAGGCCTTTGAAGTGCTAAGTGGTATGAAAATAATTTGCATATAATTACTTAAGCTCATCTACTAATTGATTAGAAGATTTGGAAGAAAACAATTGCCTCAAAATTAGTTTTTTAAAGATAAAGCTCCATTTCTTCCTAAGTTTTTCCTTCTTTGGTCCCACTTCACTGCCTTCCTAACACCATTTCTGCTTTACCTCAAAGGGGGGGAGTCATCTTGAGTTTAGTCTTTTGGTTTCTAATGACTGTCTTAGCTTTGCTCCACTGTAGTGACCCACACTTCAAACCTTTTTACTTGGAATAGTTCTGTCTTGATAATTTCATTTTACCTTCTTTAAGTTCTGAAATTCCTGCTCATTCATATCTCTTCATTCTTCTTGTGTCCTCAGTCCTTTTAATTTGTGACTTTCACCTACGGATTCATCCTTGTTGAAGGTGTACCAGTCCAACTTTTGTCACTCCTGTCCAGCTTTCTCGTGCTAAAACCTTGGATTCCCTTTGGGTCTTTCTTTGCCTTTTGAAATCCAGCTCACCTTTTAAGCTTGAGTTAAGTGGTCATCTTTCCTGCCATTCTTCTTCAGTCCTAATATTGTTCTCTTCTCCCCAAAATATTTTTGCATATACAATCAGCCCCCCCATCTGTGAATTCCGAATCCATGGATTCAACCAACCAAGGATCAAAAATATTCAGGAAATAAAGGATGGTTGTGTCTCTACTGAACATATACAGACATTCCCCCTTATCATTATTCCCTAAACAATACAACAATTATTTACACAGCAGTTACATTGCATTACATATCATAAGTAAATCTACAGATGATTTAAAGTATACAGGAGATGTGCAATACTACCTTATTTTATCTCAGGGCCTTGAGCATCCCTGGATTTTAGTATCTGGAATGAGAGTCTTGGAACCAGTCCTTTGCAAATACCGAGGGATGTATATCTCATACTAAAATGTATTTTTTCTTCCTTCTTAGGTAGAACATCAGCTCTATAAGGGCAAGGATTTATTCATGTTTGTATATTCATTTTATTCAACTTTGTATACACTGCCTGCTTCATAATATTTATTACATGCTTGAGAATATGAATTTTTTTTCACCCATCTTTCAGCTCTGAATAAACTACCATCTGCTTTCTCTGTCATTTGGTGGTTGAGTATTCCTGTAGGTTACCCACTGACCTCAGGACTCTTTTTCTTCCTCTAAATCTTCTCCTTAGGCAGTTTTCTCTGTGCCTGAGGGTTTTACTTAAACAGTTATTCAAGCCAGAAAGTCACCTTCTCCCTCACTTTCCATATTTAAATTATCATTTGGTGGAAGTTATCTCCTAATTTACTGTAGAATTCATTTATTTCTCTCATCCCCTGTGTGGTGGCATCTGCACAGTTCTTTACTTTCCACCCTTGCACCTCTCCTCCTTTTCCTGTACTGCTGTCAGCTTTTCAAAATGTAAATCACCCCTCTTCCCTTTTACTTAAAACACTCTGTGGCTTCCCATTGCTCTAAAGATAAAGCACAAATCCTTAGTGTAGCCTATAAAGCTTTGCATGGCCTGACAGAGAAATGTCCTTCTAATCATGTGAAGATACAGTATGATTTTAATACTTTCAGAAGAAAATGTTCTAGAAAAGGATGCTTGTTTAGACTTAAGGTGGGGACTCTGCAGTATGAATTATAGACAAAGACTGTCCCCACATTTAAACATAATTGGTTCTTAGAGCCTGCAACTAAAGATAAGGCAGAAAAATTTACTTTGCATTTCCTGCATTCCTCTTTTCTCTTGCTAGCAGAAACCCCTCATGTGAATAAAGGTAACACAAGAGGTTTTAAAATACAGACTTTATCACAGTGTTTAAGTTGAGAAGCATGGTTAAACGTGTATGGGGAGAGAATGCTTTAATTTGTACATTATTGTATGTCAGGCTGAATGTTTTCTATTTTTAGTGCTATCTGTAAATTTTACTTCTTTTTTGGATTTATCTTTTTCAGTTATATTACTCAGTAATGTTGCTTCTGTAACAGCTAGTTTAGTGATGAAAAACTTAGAGTATGTTTTATATTTTCTTCCCTCCACAAATGTGGATCTCATTGAGTGAAATGAGCTTGTGGTATAGTATACTTAATTCCTGTAATGGGATCACACCTCTGTAAGATGGCTGTTATTTAGGAGGGAAGAATTTTTGTAAAAAAAAATCTTAAAAGTCATATAAAAACTTACACTTTTCAATGGAATGTTTTAAGGATTTAATGATACAGAGCAAATGAGCACCCTTCTGCAAATACTGACAGGGTAATATATGTTATTTCTTTGTTGATTGTTAGTTTGCTGGGGATTAAAACACAGATGATCATATTCAGGCTGGTTAGATTAGTGATTTTAATATGAAACCATTGCTTTTAGAATAATCATGGGCCAGACTGGGAAGAAATCTGAGAAGGGACCAGTTTGTTGGCGGAAGCGTGTAAAATCAGAGTACATGCGGCTGAGACAGCTCAAGAGGTTCAGACGAGCTGATGAAGTAAAGGTACAATTTTATCTTTTGTGAAAATGTACAATTGAGGATAGTTTTTTCCTCCCTACAGTTAAATAAGTTTTAATTTGAAATAGTATAGTTTCAGCCAAGGTCATGTTTATAGTAAGATAAAGGAAGACTTGGAAGATTAGATCTTTGATATGTCTTAATTAACATTGTACCCTGCACATTAATGATAATGGAAAGGTTTTAACCTAATAGTTATTCAACTTACCTGGAAATCATTCTTTTTTGTATACCTTTATATTGCATGTGTAGACTCAGGGCCCAAACATAACATCATTTTATATTTTTAAGTCATTGTGATTTTTCTTTTTATACACAAAGTAACAAAGAATGGAAATAATTTCCTGTTCCCTTCCTGTTTGCAATAAAATAATTGTGATGTTTTTGTGTTATTTGCATGTGGGAAACTACAGTGTAGTATAAAATTTGTATGCATTTGAGGAAACATTCTTGGTATTTTTGAGAAATCACTAGATTTTATAACCTGTTTTAGAGATGTTACACATTTTCTAACAATGAACAATTTCTCCTCTCCTTCATTTTTTTAAAGAGTATGTTTAGTTCCAATCGTCAGAAAATATTGGAAAGAACGGAAATCTTAAACCAAGAATGGAAACAGCGAAGGATACAGCCTGTGCACATCATGACTTCTGTGAGCTCATTGCGCGGGACTAGGGAGGTTGGTTAACATAACGTGTTGTAGTAATTATCAACACATTTTGGTTTTTGCTATTGGAACATTTGGTTGGTTATTGGGAGGAGGTCATTGACCTCAGGATGTCCATCTTTATATTGCTGTTTCTTTTTAATGTGCAACTATTAATGGCTGCCATAGATCACAGTACTAGCTATTCCTAGAGTTCTGTGTGTTTAGAATATACTTTGACTGTTAGGTAGAGTCCAAGATTATAAGAGTGATTTAAAAAAACTTTTAAATCAAATACTCTTTAATGTCCTCATCAGATCACTATTTAGAACAAGGCTTTCTGACTCACCTTTGTCCCCGCCAATATGAATTAGCCATGTGGTAAGACATTTTTTTTTTTTTCATATTCATGGACTAAGAAATTTCTTTTTATTTTATATTTTGTTCAAAGGCTAAGCGTCTCTATAAGAATTTTTAAATTCAGTGTTGAGGGATCAGAATTTCATTTTCTATAGCATTTTCTGAATGAGGTAGATCTTAATTACTCCAAGAGTTTCCTATTTTCAAAGAAGGGCAATAAATCTATGGTAGAATCTATAATTAAATATCCCATTAAAACATGCTTGCAGCAAAATGAGAAGAAAATGGCAGAAGCTGAACAGTTCAGGCATTTCTGTTTAAGTGCCCATGTTGTATAGAAAGACATGGCATAGGATATTTAAATGGGAGTCGAAGCAAAAAGAGGGGAGACAGTGATTTGGAATTAAGATTACACTATGTAGTAGATTATTTGAGTTTCTAAACATGGGAAGCATCTAAACAATGGAATTTGTTCTCAAATACTTTTTTCAATGATTAGCCACTTTTATATAACATTATTGGAATAGTCAAGCAATAATTTGCAGTTGTGTGAGCCCTGGTGAGATTGTATGATGTATGGGCTTCAAAGACTTGTCAGTGATTCCTGAATAGCTACAGACATGATCCCAATGATGATTTCAGTGATATTCTGATGTCTTGATGTTGACACATGGTTTAGAGTGATTCTTAGTCATTTATGCATTTTGTTAGGTAACAACTCTATAGCTCTGATTTAGGATTATATGAGTATGTATTATATGCTGACACTTTTCTCATCATCTGCAGGTTGGAGCCTAGCTATATTAGAGGTAAATGGTTTTTATTAATATATTAAGGGTGAACAGGATTCTTTGCCCATCAGAATATTCTCAAAAGGGATAAGGATGGGGGTTTTAAGTACTTCTTTTGAAAATTTTGTTTGGTGATCTTTTGGAAATGTTGAGGTGAAGAGAAAAAATCTTTAATATTTTTCCTCCCTGGAGGAATAATCTTAGTAATTTGGAGAAATAAGGTAGAAATACATGGAATATTTACTTTTGCCACCCATTACAAATCTAAAAATGCTACCAAAAGTCCAACTTAGATTTACAATAAAAATTTAACAGGAATAATGACTTTTGGCACTGTGCTAGGTACTTTGTACACATTACCTCATTTAATCTTCATGATGGTTGTGTTACATCACTAACTTTTAGAAGCTGAACGTGTATACAGATGAGGAAACTGAGCTTTAGAAGAGTCAGTTTGCTTGCTCTAATGATCTGATGTGATCCCAGAAGAGTACAATTGGCTCATACACATTATGGAATAATAAAGTACATTATTTATGTACACCGTGAATTGCTCATAATGTAATATTTGGCATTAAAGAGTATAGTTTATTTAAGTGGATATTTACTAAGTTTCTTTTAATTTTGTCAAATGGAGATGTTATTGAATATAAAGATATTTAATTTTTTTTTTTTTTTAGTTTATGTGAGAAGAAACTATCGTTTTAATAAAATGGAATTATCTTCTGACCTTAGTACTTCCAGAGTATTCCACGTAGGTTGAGAAAAAAACATTTTCACAAAATATTGGGGGGGGAAAGGAGGAAAATAATCCCCAGCCTTAGGAATTCAATTTTTCGTGCATAGAACTCTGATCTGAGCAAGGTCATTGGTTTTTTTGAAACACTGTTGATAACTGATTCTGCTTCAAATGATTCATCTTTTATTTCCCATTCCCTCTTTAAGACTATCATCACTGACTTTTAGAAGCTGAAGTTTGTGATAAGCTTCTTGATATTATTATAATTGATCTTAAAGTTTTAGGGTTGAAAAGGACTTTAGTGATCTCATAGTCCAACCTCCTGACTTTCCAGATGAGAATATCCCTGTTTATTTTTTCTTCGGTTTGAGCATTTCCATCTATATATTAATTTCTTTTGAAAATTAAAGTCTGAAGTAGGTCAAGCAAGAGGAGAAAATAAATGTGAGCCTGTTTTGCAAAGACTTTCCTAGTAGTTGGCTTGGCAGAATTTCAGACTGCAGTGTTGATCCAAACATGTAAAGTCCATAACATTCAACACTTGGAAGTGCCATTATAGCATTGTTTTAACTAACTGCTTATTTTTATAAGCTAATTATGAATAAGTGCTGATGATGTCTTCAGCTTAAATCCTCTGATTCATCAATCAATGACAATTTTCAGTTCTTCAGTCAAGTCTTATACTTCCTTCTATACTTGTAGACGTAAATATATTGTTTTAAAAGGATGGATTTTCTCCAGGCTATTTTGATAAAGAATGTCTGACAAAAGTTTACTTTCTGATCTAATGAAGTGACTGTTGTAGGTAGTGACTTCAGATCTAGGAACTCTGCAGTTGAACCTCAGTATAACATCTTTAGTATATCGTTTTCTTAATGCATTTTTAAGATACTTCGGCATACCTGTTTTTTGTTATTGCAATTACAGAGCCTAAGCAGTGTTGTCTATAGAATTTTAATACAGAATATGTTTCTATTTTATATTTCAAAAAATACTTCTTTTTTTTCCCTCTAATTATATGCTATAATTAAAAATACTTCTGACTTCTTGAAAGCAGCAACTATGTTTTACATTTTTTCCTTCTTTAATTAATCTTTTTAAGGAGCATCTAGCTTCAAGATGTCATTAAGCAATGCATATAGGCCAAGGAATTATACTTTATTCCCATGTCACCTATCAAAAATTGTTTCTAGGTGATTATTTTATCCTATCAAGCAGTAAAAACTATCTTCTGGAAAATAGTTTCTGGAAGACTTCTTCTGGAAGTTTTCACATTGGTTGTTATATTCAGTCTGTTCATTTTTCCAGTTTTGATGAAGGGACTGGTTTAGGAGTTACTCTTGAAGCTCTCATTAATGCATTTCTTTTTGTGTGTTTGTCTATTTCTTGCTAAAAACCTCAAGACACTTACTTCTTCACTGATTCTTCATATCAACATTTTTCCTACTTTACATGTATTATGACTGTGAAAGAGAGGCTTGCTCAGATAATGCCTGTCATCTGGGCAAGTGATATGATTAGTAATTTAATAAAACTATCCTGCCAATATGCATTTCTTGATTCCCAGAAAATATATTCTTGTAAGAGTTCTGTGTCTTGTTTGCTATGAAAAGAGTGAGAATATTTGGTGTATGTTTATTCTGGGGCTTCAGAATGTCTAACCTGGAAGCAGCATCAGAAGGACATCATGATCCTCATATTCGTAAAGAATTTAAAACCTTTTGAACTTTTCAGTTTATATAGGTTTGTTCTTCCTAGTAATATTTGAAATGATTGTAAGTTCATTGCTTACCATTAGATATTTGCAAAAGATTCTTTTGGGGAGAGGGTTCTATAAAAATAATAAACTGTGTAAGGCCTTTCATATGTTGGCAATTTGGCATTTTTGTCGGAGAAGAAAAACGTTGTCTGGTTTATGTGAAAACACTTGATTGCATTATTTATTGACTTGGTAATATGGTTTTCTCAGTTATTGTAAATAGAAACGTAGTTACTATTTACAAAGAAAAAATAATATCCTAGTATAGCCAATGTATAATTTAGTGCACTTCATCTACTCAATTAACATTCTTAACTTTTAATACAGTAACAGGCTTTCTTTATATAGTTCAGAATTATAGGACCTATAGGTTTAAATTCTTATGAGCCTTTTGAGCAAGTACAGCAGGGACCTAGGTAATTTTCTCATGTCTTTGAAATAAATGAATGGCTCTCTCAAGTGTCTATCTTACTCTCAGTCTGAATGTGGTGCCATGTAGTCTTGGCTCCTCAGGTCTGTCAGTTGCTTTCTGTGGCTCCCGCCTCTTAACCATTCGTTGGTATTTACTTAGAGACTTGAGTCAGTCCTTTCCACCTGTTAACTTTTAAATTGCTGCAGTCTTTCCTTGCTTTAGGCTGAAATAGATGTAACATTTCTTAAATGATCATAAAAAGGGTGTTTTCCTTTTTTTTTTGAAGGGAAACCAATATAAGCATTTTATGCTTTTCCAAAAGATAAGCTTAAAAAAAAAAGAAAGGCTGTATATGGTATTTGAGTTTATATGTCATTATATATTAAAATGTATATCATTTATAATTGAGTGTGTATTTTAAATTTAAAATTATATATCATAAGTTTAATAAGTAAATTTTTAAAAAATGTCAAATCTTTATATTTTAAGCAACTACTAAACTAGCAGAAGTTGCTAGAACACTGTGTATACAGTTAGTATATTAAAAATTATTGTTAAGTTGACTTATATAAAGATCATGTCTCTTTCCCACATGCAAATTCAAATTTTGACAACTATTTAAAAAAACAAAACAAACCCAAACAGAAAGAAATGCTTTTTTAGGTATTAATGTTAAAAATTGTTTTATTCTGAAGAAATAAGAAAATTTTATTAGACCTAGGACTTTTGTAATAATTTAGCTTGATAATGTGGATTGACTTAAATTCAATCCTTGGTTCTGTTTTATCTTTTTATAAATTTTATAAAATAAATTACTTGAATAATATTTTGGGAAAGTTGGGCAGGTTTCACAACCTATCCTGGGAACTGATGAGGCATTTTATACTAGCTAATGACTATCTATTGGGTTAATAAAATTTGTTTAAAAGTTTTACTCTTTTCTCTCCAATTAAGAAGTCATTGTAAAAATTCAAATAACACAGAAATACATAAAACAGAAGGCAGAAATCCCTATAGTACAAGGCCTCTGGCTTTTATCCTTTCAGATTTCTTTATCTATATATACTGGCATGTTAATGGTATGTATTTTATTTTAAATTTACTGGCCAGATAATATATACCTGCCATTTTAGGCCATCACTTTACAACCTCTGTTCACATTTTCTTCATTCTCTTTAAAAATGTGTAATATTCGATACTATGGATATACTGTAATTTATTGTCCCATTCTTAATTGATGGACACCTAGGTTTTTATTTTTTAGTTTTGTAGTTAGTGGTGAAATGAGCATCTTTCACATATGTCTTTGCATGTTTTGAGTAATTCTGTAGGAGAAGTTCCCAGGAATAGAATTGTTAGATCAAAATCTTATGCATATTTAAAATTTTAAATGCCCTCCAAAAGTTTTGTATTACACCCCCACCAACTATTTATGGTAATGTCTATTTACCTATATTACCAACACAATATATTATCAGTCTGTTTTTTTTTTTTTTTTTTGAGACAGAGTCTCGCTCTGTTGCCCTGGGTAGTGTGCAGTGGCATCATGATAGCTCACAGCAACCTCAAACTCCTGGGCTCAAGCGATTCTCCTGCCTCAGCTTCCCAAGTAGCTGGGACTACAGGTGCGTGCCAAGATGCCTGGGTAATTTTTCTATGTTGAATAGAGATAGAGTCTTGCTCTTGCTCAGGGTAGTCTTTAAATCCTGAGCTCAAGCTGTCATCCCACTTCCCAAAGTGCTCCCAAAGTGCTCCACTTACAGGCGTTAGCCACTACACTTGGCTTATCAGTCTTTTTAATCTCTGTAGTTACGTAGGTAAAAATTTGTGTAATTTATTACAGTTTGCCTTCAGTTATTCAGTGAAGTTGATTATCAATTGTTTCTTTATATTTCTTTTCTGAATTGGCTATTGTGCTGTTGAATCTTTTAAATTAGGTTGGGCTTTTTACGATTTGTAAGAACTTTTTGTATCTTTTTTTATCAGTTTTTAATCATCTGTTTCGCATGTTTTTTTCCTTTGTTTTGATGTTGTTTTTGGTATATTTTGATTATAGTTTTTTTCCTTTTGACTTTTGTGTTTCTTAAAGGCTTAGAAAGTCCTTCTCCGCCTCAAGATTATAAATTATCTACCCGTCATTCTTCAGTTTTCTGTTTTCATTTTTATATTCCAGTATCACTTAAATCATCAGAATTTCCTTTGGGGTAAAGAGTGAGTGGGGCGATTTGTTTTTAATTTTTTTGTATTTAGCTTTCTAGTTGTTTTAACACTAATTGTTAAATAAGTAGTGAGTAGTTGAGCAATTATAACCTATTTGTGAAGATGAACAGAATCAGCCTACTTGATTGGTGATTTCCTCAGCAAGACTACATTTGAGAAAGGACTTGAGCATGTCCCCTCAGACACCACAGCCTTGTGACACTCTTGCCTATTTGTTTTTAACTGGTACCTCTACTACTCTAAGGTATTAAGTTCCAAATTCACTGTCATTTAAACAAGGCTTTAAAACAGTTTACTGCCACAGGTTATGGAAACCATGGACTTATATAGTACTCTTTCATTTCTTGTGGTTTTTTTCCCACCAGTGATAGAAATTGCTTTATTTTCTACTCACAGGAGTATTCTTGAATTAGATTTTTGAGTTTGCATATAGAGCCATGTTTATGGGTCTTTTTACCTGCTTTCTGTGCTTTGAATGCTTGGTGGTTTTACCAGCTTAAGTCCTATTTCTCTATTCTGTTTTTGATCTTTTTGCATTTTAGCAAAATTGGAGTTTTTAGGAAAGGTGTAGATAATGAGAGCATGATTTACCTTAACAGCCCCCTTCAAACCCAGACTGTGTTGAGTTTTAACCTAGGATTAACTAGGTTTTTGTATGTTTATGATCCCTTTAATTCAAGGACAGGTTTCTGAAGCTAGGATGCAGGGAAGATCTTCAAGGTTCTAAACTTCCTGAAATTGTATTCCAAATGTTATATGTTCTAATGTTAAATGCTATTTATGCCTCCCCCACTGGGAAGAAACGTGAGAACTGACACTTACAGGATAAAAGTGAACTCAAGCAAATATCCTTATGTTGTCAGGTACCATGTTTTCCCGAAAATAAGACCTACCCATAAAATAAGCCCTAGCAGGATTTCTAAGCATTCGTGCAATATAAGCCCTACCCCAAAAATAAGACCTAGTGATGGGCGTGGCTACGCAGCGCATCTGCACAACCCATGCATTTCGTAGATGAGCAGCCTGAGCAGCCCTTCTCATCTTCCCCATGAAAGCTCTATTGCTCGACATGAGAGATTGGGGCCAGTGGCTCTAAAGGAAATATAGTCACAAGAAATTCAGGATGGAATTTGGAATTTGGAGAGTTATGATGATGTTCCAAAAGAAGATGACTTAACTATATTTGAATAAATGTAGATTGTTGTACTGTACTTACAAAAAACCACATCCCCTGAAAATAAGCCCTAGGGTGTCTTCTTGAGGAAAAATAAATATAAGACCCTGTCTTATTTTCGGGGAAACATGGTAGAGGTTCTTATGATCTGAAATGGATCTGTAACATAAAATATATAGCAACACAAATTGAAATGATTTACAAACTGGTATGAACCATTCTTTTTCATGCCTTATCTCCAACACCCTTGATTAGTTGCTTTCATTAGATACATTTACATCAAGATCTTAACTGGATTTTTTTTTTTTTTTTTTTGAGACAGAGTCTCGCTTTGTTGCCCAGGCTAGAGTGAGTGCCGTGGCGTCAGCCTAGCTCACAGCAACCTCAAACTCCTGGGCTCCAGTGATCCTTCTGCCTCAGCCTCCCGGGTAGCTGGGACTACAGGCATGCGCCACCATGCCCGGCTAATTTTTTTTTTTTTTTTATATATATATCAGTTGGCCAATTAATTTCTTTCTATTTATAGTAGAGACGGGGTCTCGCTCTTGCTCAGGCTGGTTTTGAACTCCTGACCTTGAGCAATCCGCCCGCCTCGGCCTCCCAAGAGCTAGGATTACAGGCGTGAGCCACAGCGCCCGGCCTGGATTTTTTTTTTCTACCCATTTTTATTTCTGCCCCTCTCCTGTTTGAGCCACTCATTTTTTTCACAAATATCTTCTTTAATCACCATTCTCCTCTTTTGTCTTCTAAACCTGGTTATGAACTCACTTCTATTACTGAGCTTTTTAAAACTATCCAAACAATATTTCTCTCTTTCCAGTATTTCTTCAGTACTTCCTTCACACAAAAGTAGTCTGAATTTAAATTATATACACTGTCATTTTCACCAGAAGGCTAGCAAATTTAAAACTTGGGTGTGTTATCTTTTCTTTCTCAAATTCCTGAGGAGTATAATAAGGTGTTTCAGAAATCACTGTCAGCTTTTCTCTAGGGTTGGCAGCAGCTAATGCTTTCTCCTGACCCTTCCTCTCCAGGGTGACAACCTTCCTGTACTTTCCTCATTGTTCTCACACAGAAAGGCTAAAGAATGTTAGATAATGTCAGCAGTTCACTGTGCCTCCGGCATGAGTTAAATGGACCAACCAGTAACCTAGAATATTTTTTACTTGACTGACTGGTATATTTCCCCCTACTATATGGAAGTTGGACTTAACCCTTCTCATGTTAAAGATTATTCTGAGGCAAGTTGGCTGTGGCTATTATCCTTTGGGATGTCCTGCTATAAAATGGAGAGTCATACTTACCTTACAGGACAGTTGTGAATTTTAAAGAAGTTAACTTTGCTAAAGTCTCTAGCACAGTGCTTGGCACATAGTAGGGTGTGTTAATTTCTTTCCCTTCCCTGCAGGCCATTCACCTGCTCTTCCCTCTACGATTTTCCATAACACAGTTTTTACTTGGAACCAGCCTTCTGCCAAGAGTCTCAGTTTGGTTGTGTACTCCTACAACTACTATTTTTGGCTTGACTTCCCTCTCCAGCTCCCAGTGGTCCAGCCACACAGTCGCCTATTGTACCAGCTGGTTGATGTAAGTTTATCCATCCTCAGAGGAACCTGGTTACTTACCAGTAAGCTGCATTTCTCTGAAAATGTAGCATCCTTGATAACTAGTCTAGTTTTTTTTCTTTCTTTACCATTGATGATGAATTATCTCTAACTTTCTTGTGTGACCCTTAAGTCGGATCTAGAATTAGAAAATTCAGTCTGTTGATCTAGGTCTCCTAGTGAGTTCCCAAATCCAGGACACATGTCTCTGATTAGGTAAAATCAGTGGAGACCCATGAGGTCAAAATTCTTTTCACTACTGTGAATGACATGAGACTTAATTATATAAATTGTCAAGGATGATACATTTTCAAAGAAAAAAAAGGTTGCTTGTAAGTAACTGGGATTTTTGAGTATTTTTCCCAAACTTGTTTTAGCAACAAATGCTTTTGCATTTGAATATTTCATAAATGAAAGGAATATGGTTATTAGTTAAGTTTAATAGTTAAAGAATGGGATAGGTTTCTAGGGCTACTACATATATACTGAGGTATAGGGGGAGATCATTAGTTTTCTAAACAGGTGCTCTCTCAGCTTTAAATAGAAATTGAAGCCTCCATTAGAGAAAATCAGGAAATGCAGTTGGTTCATTCCAGAAACATTTTTTGAGTGCCTACTTTTTTTTGAGACACTGTGCTGAGTATTGTTTCAAGACAGAGAGGTAAAACCACATTTTAACTCAGGTGCTTTTGCCCTCAGAGAGCTCATTTCTTGTCCCTCGGTGACTCTTGTGTGACTCAGAACTGAGATGATGGGGTATTGGAGTATGACCGAGGTATGGGATTGGAAGCAGAACTCAGGGCTGCAGCGTATGCCTTCGTATTTTCTGTGCTTCTGTAAGTTCTTCTGTTCTTGGGAAAAATCAGCTGACTTCATTCAGTATACTCAGAACATTTTCTTCATCACCATAGCAAACAAAAATGAAGCAAAGCCAATGTCCTTTCTGTCTAGTAGTTGAAAAGAATATTCAACTGTCTAAACTTACGTGAGACCTTGGATTTAGTCAGAATTGCAGTGGCAGCCCACTCCCCGTTGGCTCAGCTTCAGAATTAAAGCCACAGAATGAATCTATTCCCACCAAGTGTAAAACGAAAACCAAAACTTTTTTTTTTTAAGAAATAAAATTATTTTGTATTTAAAATTGTTGGTTGGTATGTAATATTTTATTTGTTAATATAACCCCCCCCCCCCTTACCCAGTTAAGTAGATAGGAGGAAAGAAAACTTGGAAGTAATAGAATAAGAGGAGAAAGCTGGCAGAGGAGATGCTCTTGTAACATTGTCATATGTCTCTATTTTATGTAGCAGATACTGCATGGCTATAGTTATTATTTTACCCTTTGAGCATCTCAGGGGCAAGAACCATAGTGCAGTAATTAAGGTGTTGGGTGTTACAGTCAGACTTAGGTTTTAATCCTGGTTTTGTAATTTACAACCTTTCTAACTAGTCAAATTATTTAACTTCTCTGAACCTCAGTGCCCTCATTTATGAAGTTGTGATGCTAAAACTGTCATAAGATCATAATGAGGAATAATTAAGATAATGTATATAAGCACTTAGCACAGTGCCTGCAACATAGTACGTGCTCAATAAATGTTAACTGCTGTTATTATTGGATTAGTGGATGGATGGATGAAGAATTGTCTTAGAGGCCAAATGGTGGGAAAAGGAAAGATTGTGGGTGCAGCAGTGTTAGTAAGCCATTGATACCTTCTTATTTACTTGAGTTACAACCTTTCTGTTATTATTGTCTTTATCTTTGCCTTTTTGGAAAGCAAATTTATAGATTAATCACTGTCACAGTTCTTCGTAACTAATATATTCTTAAACCTTTACTTCCACTAAGGAAGGAATTATTATTGTGCTGCAGTGACTGTGATGATTGGGAGATTATCCCACCAGCCTGATGCGATGCTGAGGGTTAGGTGTGGTCTGTATGCCAAAGATTTCTACTCTGATTTCACCAGACCTAGTTCTGCTATTTTTAAGACATTTTAAATAAAAATTAAACATTTAATATGTATGTGTATGTATATATATATAATATATATATGATTTTTTTGGTTTCATTTTACTACTTCAAATCTTTTTGCTCTATTTTCATTGATTCTAGATTATGAATATTTGCCTTGAGTATTTTTTAGAAGGCTCTGGAGGCCTGATGCTTGGGTAATAGTATGTGTTAAGTAAAGCTGGATTTCCAGACAGCATGGAAAGTGCTGTGGTTTTTTTAAACCATGTTTCACAGAATCAAAGATGCAAAATTTTTAATATTTTAACATCTGAAACCAATGTGCATCTTAGAATCACTGTGTTAATAAAGCATTATATCATAGTTTATTCAACAACCTTTTTTTCCTTAGTGATATAGAAGATAATGGTGTGCCTCGAAGTTGGTATCTTGATAGAGTGCATGGAATACAGTATTTCAAGGGACTGTGTGTACTTATATATTATAGAAATATGGCATCATGGCAATATGTGTAGTGGGTAAGAACAGGTGCTCCAGAGTCAGACTTTTGGGGTTTCAGTTCTAGCCCTGTATGTTGTGTGACTGTGAGCAAGTTACCTACCCTTTCTTTACCTTAATTTTCTCACCTGTAAAATGGGAGTTAAGAATAGTATCCAGCTTACAGTGTTTTAATGAGGACTAAATATGATAAGACATGCAATGTGTTTAAAATAGTACCTAGCACATACAAAGTACTTAATAATATTAGCTGTTATTCAGAGATTACAGTTTTGCAGAATTGATTTGAATCCATTTTGTTATGATTGAGACTCAGATCTATCCTTTATATTTGTATATCATCTGATAATATCAGCAAATGATACTTGGTTTTTTAAAAGGAAAGATAAAGATAAGAAAGGTTAACCCAACAAGTTTTCTTTTTAAGTAAGATTTAAGTGGCATATTTGGTATATATGTAACTATTCTATGTAGTTAGGATGTAAGAGAAGTTAACATGAGCTAGGAAATTTTCTAGTGAAAGCATGGAGCAGTTTATCAGATTGCTGAGTCTGACATAAACATAATTTTTGATTCTTATTGATATGGGTAAGTATGGGAAGGGTTGAAGAGTTTTGAAAATTTGCAAAACCTGAAGAATTTTTTTCCCTAAGTAAAAGAGAGAGAAGAGAGAATCTTTTTTGGTTTTTATGATCTTTATTGTCCTAGGTAAAGAAATGATTTTTTTAATCAACATTATTTAAGTAGGCAGTATCTCTTTACACATGATGGCTACAGCTTAAGCTTGTCCTTTTATTCTTGAGTCAATTTTATTTTTTCTGTTTTAGTGTTCGGTGACCAGTGACTTGGATTTTCCTACACAAGTCATCCCATTAAAGACTCTGAATGCAGTTGCTTCAGTACCCATAATGTATTCTTGGTCTCCCCTACAGCAGAATTTTATGGTATGTAAATAAGGTATCTTCTGCTTACTTCATAATAACTTATTTTAAATAAAAAAGCATAGATCATTCTCTAGTCATGGTAAATCAAGATAGTATAAATTTAAAAAGCTATCAAAATGATAGCACTTAGAGTGATTTTTAAAAACTGATTAATACAGTGTTTTTTAAAAAGCCTTTACAGTGTTGCTTTTTCCTATACTTTCCAAAGGAAAAGTGTTAAGCAAAAAGCATACCTAGGATTAAAAACACTTAAAAGGTGAAGCTTATATTTAATAGTTGTTATCCTTGAAGAAGTTAGTATCCTGTAATCTCAGTCTGACTTTGAGTTTATGTTAATTAAGGACTTACTATTTAAAATAATTTTAGGCAGCATGTTACTAAGTGATAATGTACACTGTGACATATTCTTGGGGCTTATAAAACAAAAACTTTAACATATTTCTACTGGTCTAATAACTTTTATAATGAACTGCTAGTATTTAACTCTTTATAGAAGTAAAATTAAGGAGGGTGGGACAAAAGAGAAATTCAAGTGTGCATTCTTGACTTGTGTTGTTAAAAATAAAAAATTTATGACTGGACACAGTGGCTCATACCCATAATCCCAGCACTTTGGAAGGCCAAGGCAGCAGGATCCCTTGAGCCCAGGAATTTGAGACTAGCCTAGGCAACATAGCAAGACCCTGTCTCTACAAAAAAATAAATTAGCTGGGCGTGGTGGTATGCATGTAGTCCTACCTATCAGTAGGTGGAGGTGGGAGGATCACTTGAGCCCAGGAGTTAGAGGCGATAGGGAGCTATGATTGAGGCTGCAGTGGGCTATGATCATGCCACTGTACTCCAGCCTGGGTGACAGAGTGAGACCCTATCTCTTTAAGAAGAAAAAAAGAGAGAGAAAGTAAGTTTTATTACTTGATATATAAAGTGGGAAGGCTAATAAAATGTTGAAGGAAATCCTTGGTGAAACTACTTTAGAGAATTGCTTACTAGGTTAAAAAAATAGACGTTTCTAATGTCTTTAGAAACAGAGTAACTTTTCTCTTAACACATTTTACAGTGGAGAGTCAAAAGTAAACCAACTACTCTTCTGCAGTTCCATATGTTTGTATATTGAAGAATTTATTCAAAAACATTTAGCTTGACTAGCACTTTGAGAGGCTGAGGCGGGAGGATCGCTCAAAGTCAGGAGTTCAAGACCAGCCTGAGCAAGAGTGAGACCCCATCTCTACTAAAAATAGAAAGAAATTAGCTGGACAACTAAAAATATATAGAAAAAATTAGCCGGGCATGGTGGCACGTGCCTGTAGTCCCCGCTACTTGGGAGGCTGAGGCAGGAGGATTGCTTGAGCCCAGGAGTTTGAGGTTGCTGTGAGCTAGGCTGATGCCATGGCCCTCTAGCCCAGGCAACAGAGCAAGAGTCTATCTCAAACAAACAAAACCATTTAGCTTGAGAATGATATTGTAAGACTTTGAGGTTTCATATTTTTACTGACTGAAATTCTGAATGAATTTAGTGTTTAAATTTGTCAATAAATATTATTTATGAATCATGTGGGTTTTGTTGGTCATTGACCAAAGTAAATTAGGCAGACTATCTTCTTATTATGATGAGGACATGTTTTGGGGAGCAAAGATTATGTGGATACAATTGGGAAGAGAAAATAGCCAAATATCACTTAATTTTTTTGAACATAAGCCAATATTAACTCCTACTTTAAATGGGATTAGTGCAAGTGAGATGAGATGAAAACAGGATTCTACTGTTTATGTAAGCTTGAATCTGAATGATCAATACATTAAAGTCTAAATTTTCATTTTATATATATGAAGTTCTTTATGAACTCTTCAGTTGTCCAAAATTTGTTATTTAGGGATTACTTGAGATTATTTCCTTTTCTTTGAATTTCCTGCCTGCTGCTGCTGAACAGTCTTGTGTGTTTCATGGCCTTTCCCAGTGTCGTCTTCCCTGTTGAACCTAGTCACAATTCTGGTCCCAGCCTATGCCATCGTGTCCTCCAGTCAGTCTTAGTCCATTCTGTTTATCAGAATTATCTTTCTAAAATTGTTTTTAACCAATACCCTGTTCAAAGACCTCGTAAGACTTAGACCTATCCTTACTTTGAATTAGTCTCTTTAAACATGTACTTCAGAACTGTCCAGTCTTCATCTACAGTTAGTGTCGTTTTTATTCTTTATTGAAAATTATTCCTTTCCTCCCATCATTGTCAGCTTTCTTTCCTTTGTATTCTTAAGTACTCCATTCTCTCTGAACTTTTCTTTGATTGGCCCCTTTCCTACAAATTTACACCCTTTTTCTTCCCTGTGTCTTCCAAACCTTGATATGAACTCATCTGTCATCTTTACCAGCACTGTCAAGTTTGATATACATACTGTTCATCTAAGTATTGAAATATTTTACATTTTTGTAGAATATTCTTGTTTTATATAAATATAAATCCTTTAGGTATAAACTTTAATGGATTATTGATACTCTATTTTACATCCCTAGAATTTTATTATATTGAATATTTTGAATTTGATTAAATAACTAGAAATCTTATGATAGGTTTTTGGTATGGATATTTATAGTTGATCTTGATAAACTATATTTCATCAGTTCTAAGACACATAACATTTGAAATAGGAATGTGTCTTAATTGATGATGCCTCATCGTAATCTGGAACATTTTTTCCTTTCTTAGAGGAACAAAAAATAATGGTAAGTTTTAGCCGGACGAAGAGCGAGACCCAATCTCTACAAAAAATAGAAAAATTGGCCAGGTGTAGTTGCGTGCACCAACTACTAGTCCCAGCTACTAGTCCCAGCTACTCGGAAGGCTGAGGCAGGAGGATCGCTTGAGCCCAGGAGTGGGAAGTTGTAGTGAGCTATGTTGACGCCACTGCACTCTAGCCCGGGCAACAGAGACCTTGTCTCAAAAAAAAAAAAAAGTAAGTTTTTAATTATTGATGATATATTAGATTAAGTATAGTGTTTTTTCTTAAATTTATTTTTTTCTTGTCAACAGTTTTTCTCAGATATGCTTACTGGTGAGAGAAGTCTTTTATTCCTTGATAGATTTTTGAGTTTGCTGACTAGTATCTTAAATCTGGAGAACTGGTAAAGACATCTACTTATGAAAAAAAAAGTTAATGTTTTAGTTATCTCACGTTGACTTTTTAAAAATATTTGGATACTTAGCTTTTTAAATACTTGTTTTACTTTTTAGGTGGAAGATGAAACTGTTTTGCATAACATTCCTTATATGGGGGATGAAGTTTTAGACCAGGATGGCACTTTCATTGAAGAACTAATAAAAAATTATGATGGGAAAGTCCATGGGGATAGAGGTGAGCCATTTGTTTGTTCTCTTGGAAAATGACTAAAGAATGGAGATGTACTTTGGATTATTAAGCAAAAGTGTGAAAATAAATTTTTAATATTAAAATTCAGTTTTTGGCCGGGCGCGGTGGCTCACGCCTGTAATCCTAGCTCTCTGGGAGGCCGAGGCGGGCGGATTGCTCAAGGTCAGGAGTTCAAAACCAGCCTGAGCAAGAGTGAGACCCCGTCTCTACTATAAATAGAAAGAAACTAATTGGCCAACTGATATATATATAAAAAAATTAGCCGGGCATGGTGGCGCATGCCTGTAGTCCCAGCTACTCGGGAGGCTGAGACAGAAGGATCACTCGAGCCCAGGAGTTTGAGGTTGCTGTGAGCTAGGCTGACGCCACGGCACTCACTCTAGCCTGAGCAACAAAGTGAGACTCTGTAAAAAAAAAAAAAAAAAAAAAAAATTCAGTTTTTCACTGGACTAAAAAGGACTAGCCTGGGCTCACAAGTCCACAATTTTCATTGTTTTCCCTAAGGCTTTTTACATTGGAGGGTCATATTTGCCACCTGATAATTATCTATAGTTGTTTATAACATAAGTTACAATGGCAATACATGTAAATTAAATAGAGATTGTTTGAGTGTATGTAGACTTTAAGATTCTTTAGTATTATTAATAATAACACTAATTAAGATTGGAGCTCTGCTTTTGTGGCATATGGGCTCCAAAAGGCCCTACTGCTCGAAAATACCTTCCACACAAGCTACTGCGGTTCCTGAAGTTCAATTTTTAAGAGTCATAGCTTCAGTTTTTTTTATTTTTAGGAGGGCCTGGTAAAGTGTCTGAAAGAAGGGTAATATTTGTAGTATCATCATCATCCATTGTCTTTATTAGTGGAAAGTAGAGTCTGAAGTGACCGGTTAAAGGACAGATCCATTGTTTGAGAGGAGATTTACTCCATAATTATAGTAATTCCTGGAGGACTGGGTCAGTACTAGGCACTGGAACGTGTTGGGGAGGGATGATTCAAGAGAAAGCGGCAGGTATTGAAGGTAAAATCTGCATCCTGACTTTGCTTAAGGCTAGTTCTAAAAATGATTTTATCTTTTCCTCCCCTCATTTTAATAATAATGTTGTGCTAATTGATAGTCTGTGGCTATTTCTTCCAAGGTAGAAAAAGCATATATAAACTTTCATCAATACTACTTTTCCCTATGTATTTCTGACACTTGACTTGATGAATTTCAGAATGTGGGTTTATAAATGATGAAATTTTTGTGGAGTTGGTGAATGCTCTTGGTCAATATAATGATGATGATGATGATGATGATGGAGATGACCCTGATGAAAGAGAAGAAAAACAGAAAGATATTGAGGATCACAGAGATGGTATGTCTGATTATTAGGTTTCTGTGTAGCCAGTATAGCATTCTTACAAAAACAATAGATCAAAAGTAGAACTTAGTTCCTTCTCTTTTTCTTTCATTGTTAAGTATCACATTGATAGTATTATGATCAAAATTAGAATATTATTTGCAATATTTCATGATCCACTTAAGCGTCTTTGTTTACTTTAGCTAGTAAAAAAACACACTCTTTTTTGAGGGGGCTTCACTTAGGCAATCATCATAATCATCATTGTAATATATAACATATTGATCATTTAGTACTATGTACAAATTGTATGCTTATCACTTCATGTGCACCAGCTCACTTAATCCTCAAAACAGCTTCATGAGGTAGATATTATTATCAGATCCATTTTATATCTGAGGAGATACATTTAGAAAGGTTAAGTAACATATGTAAGATTACACTATTGGGAAGAAACAGAATCCTGAACGCTGTGATGATAATCTGGGCCTAATTGACTCCAGGGCCCATGCTTTTAACCCCAATACTAGTTTTATTACTTACCAGCAAAACAGTCAATCTTAAGAGCTGATAGGTGGTGTTCTCTACTTGGCAAAGCTTATATTAAAGCAGCATAGAAGAATTTGGGGAAAAATTGTAATTAGAAGTATACTATTTTGGCCGGGCGCTGTGGCTCACGCCTGTAATCCTAGCTCTTGGGAGGCCGAGGCGGGCGGATTGCTCAAGGTCAGGAGTTCAATACCAGCCTGAGCAAGAGCGAGACCCCATCTCTACTATAAATAGAAAGAAATTAATTGGCCAACTGATATATATATAAAAAATTAGCCGGGCATGGTGGCGCATGCCTGTAGTCCCAGCTACTCGGGAGGCTGAGGCAGGAGGATCGCTTGAGCCCAGGAGTTTGAGGTTGCTGTGAGCTAGGCTGACGCCACGGCACTCACTCTAGCCTGGACAACAAAAAAAAAAAAAAAAAAAAAAAAAAAAGAAGTATACTATTTAAAAAAGACAACAAAAAAGTACCTTAATGATCATCTAGTTCAGCTCCATTTTATGGATGGGGAAACAGACTAAGTGATCAGGTTAAGTGATCAGCCCTGGTTCAGTTAGTAGCAGAGCTAGGATTAGAACTTAGGTTTCTGCTTCTTAGTGCCTTTTTATTTTTTCTCTCTTTTTTTTGGAGATTAGGGTCTTGCTCTGTTGTCCAGGCTGCAAAGCAGTGATGTGATCATAGCTCACTGCAGCCTGCTAAAGTGATCTTCCTGCCTCTGCCTCCCAAATTGCTAGGATTACAGGAGGATCTACCGTGCCTGGCCTTCCCCTTGCTCTTAAAACCTTTCAAATTTGAATTTGAATTTTGTGTTTGACCTATGGGCATACCAGACACGTGAAATGTCATAGATGTAAGTGAAACACAAAGTTGATGATTTCTTAGAAAATCACCTGTGTTACAGAGATATAGTTGGATAGAGAAAACGAAAAGATTGAAAACTTGTTTACTTCCGTTCTTTTTTTCTTCTTTCGTAATTTTCCTGTTTAGATAAGGAAAGCCGGCCACCTCGGAAATTTCCTTCCGATAAAATTTTTGAAGCCATTTCCTCAATGTTTCCAGATAAGGGCACAGCAGAAGAACTAAAGGAAAAGTAAGATTTGTTCTTTTGTGGCAAACTTGCCCTGTATGGTATGTACCTCACCACTTTGGTTTATTACAAATGAAATTAATACAGCTGGCGAACCACCCCACTTCATTGGTTCACAGTGTTTGCGGGATACTTGAAGCAGTATCTGTATATATGTGTTCTGTTTTGTACTCCGAAGCATTTCCTGTAGATACATATATATAAACATTATGTATGTATACACATACACATACATGTATTTATATGCACATACCTATAATTTACAGTAGCACATTTAGAGGAAAATTTCCCAGGATACTGGTAGAAATTTTAGTACAGTTGATATTTAATTAAAACAAATATAATATCCTTTTTAATGATATACCTGGATCATATTAATGAGTTTGATTCTTGATAATACCAGGCATAACTTTTTATCTAAATAAAGATTGTTCTAGGTTAGAACCATTCCTTTGTGTTTTAATCAAGGTAAACATAAAAATGATACATGGAAACCATTTAGAAACTTTATTTTCAAAAAAGTGATTTTTGTTTCATGTTTACTTACATTTTTCTTGGTTAATGTCAGATATAAAGAACTCACCGAACAGCAGCTCCCAGGCGCACTTCCTCCTGAATGTACCCCCAACATAGATGGACCAAATGCTAAATCTGTTCAGAGGGAGCAAAGCTTACATTCATTTCATACGCTTTTCTGTAGGCGATGTTTTAAATATGACTGCTTCCTACATCGTAAGTGCAATTATTGTACGTTTTCATTTTTTATCTTTGTTGTGGAATTATGTCTTAAAGCAAACGTAGAATGTGCTATCATTTATTACAACTAGAATGTATCATTTAATCTTGTTAAATATTGGAAAATATGTTAAGATCCCAGTATTGATTTTACTTTGTTGCTTGAGGATTGCTGTGAAATCTTTTGCATGCATTTAATTTGGACTATTGTTCCCACTAATTCAAAATACAGGTCAGTGATTTTTCCATAAATGCTAACTAAGCAGTTTTATAATAAAACTATTATTATGAATTAGCTGATAGCCCAGACCAACACTACTGATATTGATGAATAAATTGTATTGAATAAGAAATTGACTAAAAAGATGTCTTATAAATTCTCATCTGTTTAGAGTCAAATTTTTTTTGTCCTCTGAATAAGTTGCATTTTAAAATACCTGCATTTGAATACAAGTAAAACATAAAATGTTCCTAATGAAATTTAAGTATGGTACATACAATAGTACTTTCCCACCCCAACATTTCTAGGGAATGAGATTCCTTAGTAACTTTTCCTGGTTTACAGAACTTAAATTATTTAAATGCAGTTTAAAAAGCATCAACTGCTTTTGAGGTACATTTTGAAAATATATTTAATACTTCCTAATTTTCCTAAATAGAATAGTTTATTTAATAAGTTTAGCTTTTCCCATATTATATTTTAGTGTGTTATCTATGGCATTGTAATACCTTTAGGGGCTTTTGAGTCTATGTGAAGTTGTTTTCCCCTCTACTAAATGGCCACACATTGCTGTCCCAATTTGAGTTCCCGTGCTTGCCTTTTACAGATTATCCCCTCATCATCCGCTGGTGTAGCTTAATGTTAATAAGCTTGTTCAAGCAGTTATGTTTCACCTCCTTGTAAGTTTTTGCTCTATCTACTTGTATTTGCTGCAGCTCATAATTTGCAGACTGTGTGTATTGGTCTGGAAGTATTAAGTTTTGTTTTTGTGTGTGACATGTTAGTGTTTTAGTTATCTTAAATTAGGAAAACTTGAAGTATATTTTTAGAATTATCATTATATTTCCATCTCCATGTTGCTGTTGTCTGCACTCCTAATCTAGTTTAAATTGATGATTTGGTGGTTTTAATAATCCATAGTAAGTCATCCATTTGTTGGTTCAGCTGTTGGACTGTTAATCCCTTAAAATAGTTGTGTTTAATTGTCTTTTAAATCTCCTTTACACACCATCATTTTACATCTAATTTTTATTAAGAATATTGTAAATTGTGTTCAGATATCATTATAGCAAAAGAATTGGGTGGAAGCTGTATTTTGAAATCATTGAAAGGATCCTTCTAATTTGTTGTTTATAGATACAGCATTTAATATACCTTTTTTGTTGTACAAATAAACCACAGATATAGGATACTACTTTTAAGCATTATTTATTACAATTATTTTATTGTGCTATTTAGAGATGAGTAATTTTTTTTTTTTTTTTTTTTTTTTTTTTTTTTTGAGACAGAGTCTCGCTTTGTTGCCCAGGCTAGAGTGAGTGCCGTGGCGTCAGCCTAGCTCACAGCAACCTCAAACTCCTGGGCTCAAGCGATCCTCCTGCCTCAGCCTCCCGAGTAGCTGGGACTACAGGCATGCGCCACCATGCCCGGCTAATTTTTTATATATATATCAGTTGGCCAATTAATTTCTTTCTATTTATAGTAGAGACGGGGTCTTGCTCTTGCTCAGGCTGGTTTTGAACTCCTGACCTTGAGCAATCCGCCCGCCTCGGCCTCCCAAGAGCTAGGATTACAGGCGTGAGCCACAGCGCCCGGCCGAGTAATTTTTTTTTTGAGACAGAGTCTCACTCTGTTGCCCAGGCTAGAGTGCCATGGCGTCGGCTTAGCTCACGGCAACCTCAAACCCCTGGGCTTAAGCAATCCTTCTGCCTCAGCTTCCCGAGTAGATGGGACTACAGGGCATGCACTGCCATGCCTAGCTAATTTTTTCTATATATATTTTTAGTTGGCCAATTAATTTCTTTCTATTTTTAGTAGAGACAGGGTCTTGCTCTTGTCAGGCTGGTTTTGAACTCCTGACCTTTAGTGATCCGCCCGCCTTGGCCTCCCAAAGTGCTAGAATTACAGGCGTGAGCCACCGTGCCTGGCCTAGAGATGAGTAATTTTGATGAACCTCGGTCGAACCTGTTAATTATCTCATTTTTAAGCTGGGAGAAAAAGAGGGAAACATTTTACCTTAATAAAGGTTTTTATGGGACTAGTAAGCTGCTGCTTGCAGCATTTAGTTTTAGTAGCAGTGGGTCCAACACTGCTAGGCCCACCTTTCTTTCTTTTTACACTAGAGCCAATGTCTTCATAATTTAGCCTTCACAAAATCTACAGGTATTTCATTGCTTTGTGCTAACTTTGATAAAATGCCACACACTGTATATTTTTCTTAGGTTAAATAAGTTGTTAAATAAATCATTAACTATATACAGTCATGCATTGCTTAACAGTGGGGATATGTCCTAAGAAATCCATTGTTAGTCTCACTGCCTTTTCCTGGGAAAAAAAAAAAAAAAAAAAAAAGAAATCCATTGTTAGGCAGTTTCGTCACTGTGCAAACATCATAGAATGTACTTGCACAAACCTCAGTGGTATAGCCTACTACATACCTAAGTTGTATGGGATAGGCTATTGCTCCAAGGCTACAAACCTGTACAGCATGGTACTGTGCTGAATACCATAGGTAACTAGAACACGATAGTAAGCATCTAAACATAGAAAAGGTACAGGGAAAATATGATGTCATAATCTTATGGGACCACGGTCTCATGTCATTGACTGTCATTGACTCAGATGTCATTATACATTGCATGACTGTATGTTAAGCATAGCATTTTGTGCTTTAGTTTTTTTTGTTGTTTTTTTTTTAAATCTCTACATTGAGAAATCTTTAGTGCTTCCTCATAGAGTTGTTATAAGAATTAAATGAATTAATGTGTGTGAAATACTTAAAATAGTTCCTGGTTCCTACTAGCTATTGTGTTTTGGGTTTTTTTGTTGTTGTTATTTTTGTTTTTTTGAGACAGAGTCTCACTCTGTCACCCTGGCTAGATTGCAATGATGTCATCACAGGTCACTTCAACCTCAAATTCCTGGGCTCAGGCAATCCTGCCTCAGCCTCCTGAGTTGCTGGGACTATAGGTGCATGCTACAACGCCTGGCTAATTTTTCTTTTTTTGTAGAGATGGGGTCTCACTCTTGCACAGGCTGGTTTTGAACTCCTGGGTGCAAGCGATCCTCTTGCCTTGGCCTCTCATAGTGCTAGGATTACAGGCATGATATTATTATTTTTTAAATAGATCCTCATTCAGATGTTTTACATTTCAAAAAAATATTAAAATGTGTCCATGGGACTGCAAACTAGTTCAACCTCTGGAAAGCAATTTGGAGATACCTTAAAGCGATACAAGTAGATCTACCATTTGATCCAGCAATCCTATTACTGGGCATCTACCCAAAAGAACAAAAGTCACTCTATGAAAAAGACACCTGCACTCGAAATGTTTATAGCAGCACAGTACACAATCGCAAAGATGTGGAAACAACCCAAGTGCCCATCAATACATGAGTGGATTAATAAAATGTGGTATGTGTATACCATGGAGTACTATTCAGCTATACGAAACAACAGTGATATAGCACCTGTTGAATATTCCTGGATAGAGCTGGAACCCGTTCTCTTAAGTGAAGTATCCCAGGAATGGAAAAATAAACACCATATGTACTCACCACAAATTGGTATTAACTGGTCAACACATAAGTGGACATAATAGGAATAACATCTATCTATTGGGTGTCAGGAAGGTGGGGGGAGGGAATGGGTATATACATACATAATGAGTGTGAAGGGCACCAACTGGGGGATGGGCACACTTGAAGCTCTGACTTGGGGGATCAGGGGGGGCAAGGGAAATATACGTAACCTTAACATTTGTACCCCCATAATATGCTGGAAAAAATTAAAAAAGGGAAAGAAATGTGTCCAGAGAAGTCCCCCTACAGCCTCTGTCCCCCATCTATTGAGTTTTCACCTCACTCCACTTATATCTTTTACAGTTTCCTTGGCAAATATAAATATATTCTCTTTCCCACCATTTATTCAAATGGTACCATAGTGGTCATCCTTTTCCCTTTTTTGACTTAATATTGTGGGTATTAGTCCAATCTGTACAGCGGCATAGTTACTTCAGGAGGCTCTGTAACTTACACAACTGGTTGCTTAAAGCAAACATTTGGGTTGTTTTTGAGCCTTTTGCTATAATGTTGCCACAGTGTAATAACCTTGCACATACCTGTACCCATTTCCCACAAGTTCAAGTTTCCTGGTAAAACTTTATTTAAATATTGCTAAATGTCCTGCCATATAAAGATCTATCAGCAAAGTAAGAGTGGTTTTTTTTTCAGAATCCTGTCAATAGAGTGTGTCACCAAACTGATTTTGATTTTTTTACTGATTTTATAAGTGAAAGATGGTTTTTAGTGTAGTTTTAATTTGTGTTTTTCTTCCAAATGAGGGTATCTTCCTATATTATGTTCAAGAGATTTATATTTTATTTTCTGTGAACTATTTTTCTTCTTTAGCTCATTGGTCTTTTATTCATATCTAGGGGCTCTTTATAATCAGGATTAGGTTTTTTGAGATGAGTTGCAGTTTTTTTTTCTAGTATGTTGTTTGGTAAAAGTTCCACAAACAAAGTTAAAAATTTTTTTAAAGTAGTTGAATTATGAATGGCTTTCTCCATTCCAAAATTATAAAAGAGTTCCTCACCTTTTTTTCTAGCATTTTTAGGCTTCATTTTTTATATCCTCCTCCTTAGCTCCAGAGTTGCCTACTTATTTCAATACTATTTATTGAAAAAAGTTTATCTTTCAGTGCTTTGAGATACTTCCTTCATTGCCTATTGCCATGTGTATAATATTTGGGTCTGTTTTTCAAGTTTGTGTTCCTTTAGTCTGTCTGTCT